TATAACTATGAATATTTCACGAGTTGCAGCACAAGATTTAACCTAATACGACACTTAGGTAAGGGATGATGTGTGCTAGTTTTGTTTCTACAATAAAGCAGATATAACAGCACGAATATTTTACTTACCACTCAAAATATTCAAATAAAACCATTCACACTATCACTATTTAGTTCTAGACGCGTACAATGCCATTATAAAGTGTAGCATCGTGACACACTATGGGAAATTATGAGTAAGTCAAGTCGTAAGAAACCATAATATAGAGGAAAACAAGTTATTTCAAGCCTGAATGACCTCATGACATTTCTGGTCATATTGTGTGCAAGAAATGCAGGGTTTGGATCATAAATAATGTAGCTTAATGCTGTGTTTCAAGGTGGCCAAGTGGATACTAAGAAATTATATGTATAAGAATGTACATATTATGCAATGGAGATCATAACCATATTATATGTGTACCTTTTATATGTATATTTTAGCAGTGAAGAAAACAACCAGCTGTCAAAGTAAACTTGTCAATAAAATTAAAATCAACCAATTTGAGGATAAAACTACCCTAAAGTATATGTGGGAAACATATTAAAAAGCTGATGCAAGTGGAAGATGCGTAGCGTGTGTTGGTCCATGATACCTGCGCCCCAGTCGTGATCGTATCGTATACAAGGATGGTGTTCCACAATAGCGGCCTATCCAAGAAATATCAATTCATACTGGCCCAAAACTCAAAGGCTTACTTGCCCAATTCTGTAACTTTTTAACCAATGGAAAGCTTGTGCCTTATTCATAATATTTATCACATTGTTATATCTGTGTAACAAGTTAAAAAATTAACTAAAAGGGTTTGAATACCTGTGCTCATAAAGTAGTGACATGCAATTATGAATGTATGTAAAATTATTTCTACAGATGGCAGCTCATCAAGCATTGGGAATCTTGTGTCGTCGCACTGGAGGCGATATTCGATCATAAGTGTACATCTTGATGAGCAATACATATGAATTTCTTATACTGGACAGTTTTGTATTTGTGAGTACGCACATTTGTTAGTTAAATTTACAATTTAAATTGTTCAACCACATAAAGGTAAAGTGTCGGCTATTAATTAATGTTCGCAGTAAATGGTCCGCGAAATCCTCGGATTTGAATAACAAAGCTCTGTGCCGGTCACGGCGGTTGACGGTCAACGGTCGGGATTGTTTCAGGCTGACAAATGAAGCGATTGGATGACAACAGGATGTCAGCCGGACGAATATCAGGCTCAAAATTACTGTAATGATGGTGATAAGTCGGGAACGGTTTTGTTTTCACAATTTGGCTTTTGCTTGTGAGCAGGAGCTCTGTCACCCACCACAGTTCTTCCGGGAAGTCCATATAACCTTTTATAACGAGGCACCTTACGCACACAGTACAAATCGTATGTAGCGTTAATTGAAATATATTCTTTGGTAACTTAAAAATAAGGTATCTATGAAACAGATTTATAAGGTGAGTGTAAGAGGGCAAGTCGGTAGGGGTCGACCGAGATGACCAAAATGAGGATGTCCTAAAGAAAGACAAGATCAAGAGTACTTCTAACCGATGAGCATGTATGAAAGCACTGTTGCGTGTTAACGAGGCGAAAGAAGTGGAAGTCTCTCTCGGGCTACCTCGATGGCAAAAGGGCGAGAAATATATGTGTTTTTGTTCAGAATAGGGTGGTTTGTATTAATATTATACATAACTGATTGCTGACTATTACCATCTCAATCAACCTTGGAACCTGTAGAGTCTGAAATGATGGTTTTATTTGAAAAAACAAATATATACGAGACTTAGGGTCGTATTCTAGAACTCTACTCAATGCTCAATTCATGATTTGAGTATGGTTTAAAGCACTCGAAATCATACTCAAGTCCCTGCCATTAGGTTCGTATTTCCAGTGCTTGTGTTGCCAGTGCAATCCTGACTTGAGCATTGAATAGAGTTCTAGAATACGACCCTCAGATATGAAAAAAATTGTTTTATTTCCAATTTGCTACAAACGCGAAAACCTAAGAACTCGACATTGAGTAGGTTAGGAAAAAAAATTCAAAACAAAATTATATTTGAATGCAAAATTAAACATTTTGTCCTTAGTGGAACAAAAAATTAAATTTTCTGCAAGAATTTTGTGGGTAACATATGTGTACAGGGTAGGAGCTCGAAAGTTAACTCTAAAATTTAACTCTTAGAGTCCAATTTTGGAAACAATACATTTAATTCATATATATGTAATAACGAAAAACCTTATATAAGTATTGCCGTATAGAGGTACAATAATTTAAATGTAAAAGCAAAAAAAATCATAAGTATGGGTGTAGGCTAACTGATAAAACTTGTATGATAGCTATAAATGGAACACAGAGCCTTTTCCACTTAATCATGCACATCTAAAAGACACTAGAAAAACTTGTGGTAAATTAGATGGCTTTTTGCAACAGGCTTCTTTTTAGTTTGTAACATCCGCTACTTTGCTAGAAGATCTCTCGTTTTCTTTCTCTTTGGTCTGCTAGCAGAATCCAGTTTAGACAAAAATGTCGATATAATGTTAAATATCTTCTACAGGGCGTGTAATGGAACTCATTCTGTGATATTTAATATGGTGCAGTGACTGCAATTCAAATTTTCTTAATGACATTGATAATATAAACTTGTGTGAAAATTGTACAGCATAAATTGAATATAACGACTACTTCATCTCTAATTAGGGAATTCTCTGTACTAGAACAGAATTAATATATTAAAAAAAAGGCACTACATAGAACACCCAGATCAGAACTACTTTAGAAAAGTTTGTTTACCAAATTGATACCACCTGGAATCGAAACAGGGAACCCCTGATCCAGCACCGCCAGTATAAATTGTTCAAGTGTCCTCGAAAACTTTGTGGAATTAAATTTATTTGCCAAGTTTTATCAATGGAAAGCGGGTAAAATCGAATAAACCAGATTCGTTCCCAAATTTGCCACCCTTAAGAGTGGAACATTTTCTTCACATTTGCATAGAACAACCACTTAGGCACCCCTTTCCAACAAAAAAAAGTAATCAAAATTGTTTGTTTTGTTGTTTTTTTTGTGTATGTGAACACATACACAAAAAAAAACAAATGCAGTCAAGTTCTTAGGTTTTCGCGATTGTTACACATAGGAAATGAAACTATTTTTCCGGATTTAAATCGACTTTTACTGATTTAAGTTGACATGTCAACCGTGACCATGGGACCTGTAAAGGGCGCGAAACGTCGGTTTGTTTGAAAAAACAAATATTCGCGATTTAAATCCGGAAAAATAGTTTCATTTCCTAAATGCAGTCAAATTGAGAACTTCTTTCTTTTGAAGTCGGTCGAAAGTATTACATAAAATAAGTTTGCATTTTTATCTATTTTAAAGTCAACCAATTTATTTCCAATATAAGTCACGGTTATTTATTACAACTACAAAGTGTTCAATTTCTAAGTAACAAACACATCACAATGTGGTTACCAACAGGTTTTATAGTGCCATGACTTCATTTATGTTTGGACATTGAATGAGTCATCATAACTGCCACAAAAGATTGAAGTAAGTTTACGTTACAGGGTAAATTTTAGCTAAACTAAATTGACCATACGAGACTGATTGCTGTATTAATTTTTTTAAACATTATTTTCTCAATTTGCGAGTTTTTGTCTACTAACGGCGGCGGCAAATATACGTACAGCCAAATAAGGTGGAAAGACATAAAAGAACTACCCCACAGCTAATTAAAAATAAACATGAGCATATAAGGTCATTTTAAACAACAAAGTACTCTATAATAATAATTTATTACATCCATAATTATCAACCAGGTACTAATTAGGCCCCAATTATGTGTTGAGCAAATAACAATTTTACAAAATATTAAATAGTAATAAAATAAAAAAAATAGGATGCTTATTATATAATTTGCAGGGTCTGTAGAACAGTCGTCACCTACATATTTACTTTTATGGTTGGGACACTCACCACATGACTCAAAAGCATGCTAACAGTTTCATGTAGAAATGAAGAATTTAGTCTGGCTCTTCAGGTACTGCACCGCCCCTCATCATAGTGACTATTGACTTATAGTGATCATTATTAATTAGAACTCAGAGCTAAGAGCTGGACAATTAAAGAACTGTAATGACATTCCGGATTTAAATTGCCTTAACCTTCTTTAACTCTAGTACATCAAGGTCTCAAAAGCAAGTTTTGTATTTTTGTAATTTATTAGTGGAATCCAATATTTAGTGTAACACAGAAATGATTTAGTTACAAACCTGGTATATTATACCATACTAAAAGTGCATGAAAAGTACACTACAATGAATTAGAAAACTAGTTTCCTAAAAATTCACACACTTATTGAGTTTTACCTTGGATCACACGTCATACTTGCCCAGAAGGAGGTACTGTGCACCTATATGAGGGTAATAATGGGTTAGGAGGATACAGTGTAACATCAGAAAATGGAGCACACCTGGTATACTTATAAAACACATAAGATGTTCTTATTTAGACTAAGTTACAATTTTCTGCATATTGAAAGATTCGCCATTGTTAAATACACTTTGTTTAGCAAGACTATTATTTTTTTATTTATATCATATTTACTCACATGTGCAGGGCATACAACTCTCTTGGACAAAAACAAAGGCCCACTAAAAAGAGTTTATAGCAAAGCCAAAAATATTCTTTAATATTGTCCACATGGGCTCAAAATTATCACAATAATAAATTGCTAGGTTAGTGAAGACCCTATAGGCCCTGAATAAACAACCCTAATAACATTCAACTATGCATGTGTCATGTTTGAAGTTAAAATAATAATTATTACATTAAAGGTAAACACGAAGATAAAGAACTGGTATTTTAAGTTTTTAAAGTGTAAAGCTGAAAATGGAAATTGCTGAAATGTAATATATCCAAATACTTAATTGTTAGTTAGTTTGTAAAAGTTATAAATTAGATACTTACATAAATAAGTCCAGAATAGTATCTGTCCTTGATGTTGTGCAGCACAGAAGCCTCGTTCAGACAGGTCAGCTCAGCCATGTCTTCAACTTTATCGAACTTCGGTGGATTCATTTTCTGGATGTCATCTATAGGCACCAGCATCCGCTTCCCGGATTCCGCGATTTCCACTTCGACCTCATCCCCCCGCTCTCCCTTTATTCCCGCCGCCACGAACCCCTGGGTCTCGTGGGGCACCCACACTAATCTCTTCTGGGTCCATTCTGCCTGAGTCGCCGGGTCGTTAAAACTGTTCCTATCCACGGACAGGTACCGGAGCTCCGGGTCGTTTCTATCCATGTCCACCATCGCGCCCGATCACGCCGCGCGACCCTTCTCGAGATAACCTAACACCGGCACTGTATACCACATTAAACGGTCACGCAGACCGACACTGCACCTCACAACACTCTGAAAAACCACCGCCGCGTTGTTCTTACCCGTGCCGTGACCGCGCACAGAGCTAATACGTACAAAATGACGAGTGCGACTGCGGAGCGACGGTTATTCACGGGTAGGAGGGAGGACCGGTCGACGCCCGAATTCACGTTTACTTTGCCCAAATTTAATTGTAATTTTTAATGTTACACGCAAAGAAGGTAACAAGAAAATAGTAAGTCTGACAATGTATACAATTACAACATATTGACACCGGAAATGAGAGAGAAAAAGTAACTTTTTAACAGAAAAATAGCGAAAAGTAATGCACAACGTCTTGCCGATTCTTCTTTTTGTCGTTAGAATTTGTTTTCATTTACAGTCAATTTTCAAATGGCTGACAAAAGTATGGCTAGGATTGGTTGATAATCGAAATGATATTCGTGATTTCACTGAATAACCAATCCGAGATACGCACTTTGAACTGTCACAATTGCTTTCAATGAGAACTTGCTAGTTTGCGTTCGGATACACTTTTAAATGTTCCATTAGACACATTGGTGTCTGTAAAAGAAGTTATTTGAACTCATAGATTTTATATGCTAAATCTATGTTTGAACTGTATTTATGTTATTCCTTTGTTACACGCACGAGTTAGTTTATTTCTTACAAGATGGAAAAGTTTATTTTCAGATGTTGGCAAGGCCATAAAGCAATAATATTTTAAATTTGCTTAATAAAATAAAGGGTCGAAGATTTCATCAGAAAGTTTGATTATCATTAAGTTTCGTCTTTGGAAGGGTGATGTTAATATTTGGTAGAAGTAGCTGTTCGCGAACAATTTCTGTAGCATTGGCTGAGGTTCATTGAGATCTATTTGCTATAAACAGACGGTCATGTCTTCACATTTAATTTTATTACCTTCGCCGTGGATTTATTACCTTTGTCGGGGCCTAAGGTAAACACCGGTAGTTTCGAGAATATAAGATTATTCGGTCTTTAAAAAAATTGTATTTGATTAAAAGAAACTGAAAAATTAAGGGTGCACGAAAGGGTGGTGCACCTACTTTTAGTGTTTCGCAGCTAAGAGCGTTTACACACGGCGATTTTTACCAGCGCGTCTGCAGCGATTCAGTCGCGATTCCGCGATACAGTTGCTAATCCTCTATCTTTACACACACGCGCGGCTTAAGTAACGATGCAAACGTGACGCCAAAGATTTTAAATATGGTCAGTCAGTCGCCAGGTACAGAGCGATGAATCCAATTGAAGTTGAAACGGTTTTAATCGAGGAATTTAAAAATATTTTTTTATGTTATCGGATAAAATATTGAACACTATTGAACTTCTTCTAATTGTGAAACTAGAACACCTTCGTGTACGTTTCTGAAACAATCTTACTTGTAACTTCATTTTTTATTATTATTGTAATTCTTTACTAATTATTTCTACCACGCCTGTAAACTTAATTTCAGCATAATTTAGAACATTTTTAGATGAATTATTGGGAAAACTAGTCATGTAAATGATTATCACTAATATCAGGTTTCTT